AATAGTATTCTGGAAACAGTTGTACGCGCCCCCTTAGGGCAGCCTGGCGCCCACTGAGGGGGCGCGCGCCACACAGGTTGGAAACCGCTTGCCTTAATATTTTACAAATTTCGTACTTATTGCACAGATTCAAATTTCCTGCCAAAATGTTTTTAAATGATAACACAAATATAAAAACTAGACATGTTAACATGATAATATTTATTTTTTGTTCTTATTATATATCAATATAATATTTCATATACATTTTACTCATACTAAAATTCACAGATTCAAAATTTCCCGCCAAAATATTTTCAACACAAACCGCCGAGAGCGCGCTTTTTAAATTCTGAATTAAAAAATCACTGCTGATGTAATCGGAAAATATAAATAATATTACACACATCTGCAGTTTATCAGCAATTGTTAAATAACCGAGCAATGATAACAACTTTCAAGAATAAATTAATTAAATTATTAAACAATTAAACAATAAATACTTGTAATTACTGAGTGCGATACGTGACTAGAAACATGTATGAGGAATCATCATACTTTAAATAATCATACTTTATGCAAAAAGATAGTATTTTATAATACTATTATATAATTAAAATAATATCAGTAGACTTTTATAATCAATCACGGAATTTTTTTAAAATTTTTATTGTCATCTGCTAGAAAAATTTCTATGCTAAAATTAATTAGCAATTATAAAAATACTAATATTTATTAATGCTAAAACTAATATAATATTAATTATTTATCCCTTATTTAAATAGATTTTTTTTGGGTTATGTATAATACTCCATTATATGAGTAATAAGAATATTACTATAATTTTTTATGAACCAAGTATTTAAGGCAATCTTGAAATTATTCCATAAATAATATTAACATATGACAAATGTACAAAAAAATGTTTGTTGATATTTTTGATAAAAATAGTTATAATCATTCTTATATTCCATTTGTTTAATCAAATCTAAACACAAATATAGCTTTCTCTAAAACTGTTATATAATTATTAAGAATAATACTAATTTTCTTAATAAACCAATCTTGAATTGAGAATTTAACTTTATTGCTAATATAATACAAAAATATCTCTTTCTTTGCTTTTATTAAGTCGATTTATTTGATTCATTAGATTTTTATTCATCAATATTTATTTTTAAACATAAATTTCTAGTAATTTGCCTTATACACAGATTTTTAAATGCTGAAAAAATACTTTGTTGATATAGTAAAGGGATGGTCTAACATTAAATAAATATGAAAGTATTATGGAATTCATGTTATATATATATATATATATATATATATATATAAATTTCTGTTCTTAAAGATATAATTTCTAGTTCGAGCTTTGTTGACTTTTTGTTATCACGCAACAAAGTTTCTTGGGAAGTCGTTGAACTTTAATAAAATATATTTATATATACACATAAATACCTACATAATTGTATCAATTTAATAAATGTACAATATCCACTCATCGTATTAATTATATAAAACACTGAATATTATTACTATTATTGAAGCCAATTGGAAAATTGCATCCTCATCTCTGATGGAATAAATCATAAGAAGAAATTTCTTCAAAGAAAAATGTTAGAAAATACATAAAAATGTTTGTCTGTTTAATAAATTATATATTTTATTATATTGCAGACGTAGTTTTCAAGTAACTGTAAAACTTTAATGTGCACAGTAATAATAATATATTAAATTTATTGTTAATGGGTGGCTTTAGCTGCCATTTTGAATTAACTGTCAAAAAATGTTTATGGATTTTTTCTGAAATAAATTTAAAAATGTAGAGTCTTATCAAACTGCGTGTAAAAATATAAGTACATTTAATATAAAATAGTAAACAAGTTGTTTGACACAGTAATAATAATATATTAAATTTATTATTAATATTTAACGGATGGCTTTAGCTGCCATTTTGAATTATCTGTCAAACAATGTTTTTCGAATATTTTTAAAAAATATTTTTAAAAATGTAGAGTCTTATCAAATTGCGTATAAATTTCATAAGTTCTTTTAATATAAAATATAGTAAACACAAATAAAGTTGTTTGGCACAGTAATAATAATATCATAGATAAAAGAAGAGTATAATGAATAATATATTAAATTTATTATTAATATTCTAATGGTGGCCATAGCGGCCATTTTGAATTTCCCGTCAAATAATGTTTTTGAATTTTTGTTTAAATTAATTTGAAAATATAAAGTCTTATCAAACTGCGTATAAATTTACAAGTACTTTTAACATAAAGTAGTAAACTTGTATTTTGATAAGGTATTATTGTAATCTCATTTTTATCTCTTTGTGATTTTATCATTTAATACACAAGTAGCCAAGTTGAAATTGCCCAATATTAAACTATAAATGGGTTATTCATACAATACCTAAAAAGATACGATATTCTGCCTGTTTATCTCTAAAAATATAGATAATTAATTTGTTAAGCATTTTGAAATTAATTACAATGTTGATTTGTTTCAGGTGATAAAATGGCGCGCCCTTTGGGTTTGTCCAAAATTCTACTATTTTACATATCACTGCTGAATATATGCTTAATATCGGCTATAGATGAAAATGATTTTAGATATATATTATTTAAAGGTAAGTTGATAATAAATTCACATTTATTATTAAATATTTGCATATAAAAAAGTTTTGTAACTTGTCATTGAATGCAACTGTCACTTGTTGCAAGTTTGCAATGTAAAGAACTAAATAACGTATGCGGTTTTATTTTTAATACGCACTGTGCTCATAGATTTTATAAAACATTATGTTATTATAATATATTATATATTATTATATATTCATATATTATTATAATATATTATAATATTTATTACATTATAAGTTCTATGACATTGCTAAATTCGCCATTTTTATCTTGGCCACACTGGCTGTCACATCTTTGCAAGATGGCGGATAGGATTTGAAAATATTTTTTGTAAATTTATTTTCATGAAATTAATGAGCAGTTTTTATTTAAAAAAAGTTAATTTTAAAATCTAAAATAGTGTAAATTGAGTATAACTATGTGATATTTGCACATAGTTATTGTAAAAGTTACAGGTAAATTAATAATATGGTTTTTATGAATTTTTATCAATTTGCAAAAATTATTTTTTGCAGTATGTTTTATAATATACAATATTTTTTATAGTAGATGTACTAGTTTTAGTATTTTACTTTTTAGTTTATTTATTGAAAGTCATTTCATAGTAATAATATTGCTACAAGGGTTATGTCTTAAATTTGATTCAATTCCATTTATTATAGGTTTGTTGAAGTATATGGAAAAATAAATAATATAAACTCATTATAATATTGCTTAAATCTATTGAATTTTCACTATATATTTAAATATACTATTTGACTTTAATTTTTTTAAATTTATTTATCAAATTAAACTTTACTCAAAATTTGAATTTGGTATGATGGTGAATGAGAGTACTCATTACTTAAGAATTCATTAGTTTAAAAAACAGAATTTTAACATTTATTATATCCAAATTTTTATTTTTATTTTGTTCACGGTTAAAGATTCAATTGAAGATTAGTTAATTAATCAAAACAAATTCATATATATATCCTAATTTAATTATTTCCATTAATATTTCAAATTTTAATTCTATTCGCATTCTTATTCACTGCAAGTACCTCAAACTTCATGTTCCAAGAAACAATTTGTCTGGAATATTTTATTTATAATATTTACATGTAAAGGTATTCCTAGTAAAGTAGATAATACATGCTAATTAGAATCTGTTAATTGGATAACTGTTTTGTAGGATTGTAGGACAGCATTTGTTCCATTACTATAGACATGTGTAAACTCATCATTTGTTTACACATTTAGATATTGGAACTTTTTTTTTAAGAAACAGCTGTTAAAAAGGTAATAAGTTGATAATTGGGTCCTGTGAAGAGGGATAGTAAGAATTTTTGTTGGTAAAAGGACTTTTAAGTCGTATAGACTTTTTTAGTAGTATAAATACCACTTTGTTCTTCAATGACACCATCTACGTGTCAGTATGTCTGCTAAGAATGCATCATCTTTCTTCTTAGTACACAACAAACCTCTTATCTGACACTTATAGAGATAAAACACGCAGAATTATCAGTAAATATAAGATTATATATATATATATATATATATATATATATATATACATAAATCTTATGTCGATTTTTACTACTTTAATAGGAGCAATTAGAGCAAATTAGAGATAAACGGAACCCAAACAACGCATCATTCATTTACTTTAAAAATGTCATTATACATACTTAATAATACAAAGTATGATTCACTTTATTATATATTAAAATGTCAACAAAATTTATACACTGACTCATGATATAATAATTTTATATTATTTATAATAAAGAAATTCGTTATTTTTCCATTGGCCTCAATAGTTACAAAATTCTTATTTTAAATTTATCTTTCAAAAATTCATGTGCACTTTTAGAAAAATGCTCTAAGGACATTTTATGATATAAATATAATTATATTTTAAATTATTAATTATTTATTCATTTACTGAAATACATAAAGAGATTATGATAATAGAGAAATTCGTCATTTCAATTTAGGTCTCTTTTTTCGGTTTTCCAAATTTTTCTAGAATGGTGGATTTGAAAATCTTTTTGTAAATTTATTTTAAAGAAATTTGTGTGCAATTTTATTTAATAAATAGTTAATTTTCAATATGATAAATAAATGTAACTTGATTTAATGATATTACTGTGATATTTATAGTCATTAAATAAAAAATAGAGGCGTATTAATAATATGATTTTTATTATTTACAATGCACTCAAATTTTTTTATTATATAATAGTGTGTATTATATTTTATATCATTAAAAAAAACTAGAAAATTTTGAAGATTTAGTAAATTTCAAAGACTATTGTTCAGATTTATATCTATTATTAATTATATTTAATATTAATTTATAATTATTATTAATTTATTAAATAATTTATTAAATAATAGAACATAATAATAATAAAAAATAGTAATAATAATAATTAATAAATAATAAATAAAATTAATAAATAGAAAATAATAATAATAATTATTAATAAAATAAATATAATTAAATATAAAAAGTGCAAGCAATGTTGGTAATGTAATATAGTTAATTTTATTAATCAATATGTGAGGCATAAGTTTTATTTTTTCATAGGGTTTATCATAGTTTTAAATTTTTCTATAAAAAATTGATAAATTAATTATTTTTAATTTTTGTTTCAGATATTCATAAAGAATCGCATAGGTTTTCACAACACGAAATCGTCGATTATTCGAAAATTTTGTTCGATCATACACGAGATCAGATCATAGTCGGAGCAAGGTGAGTTATTATATTATTTATATTATTTATTTATTTATATATTGTGAATAATAAATAAATTTATGTCTTAAAAATAATATTGCCATGGATTATTTGAGATAATGTCTTTGAGATTTGCTCCTATAATTTTATAGATATATTTTACACATAGAATAATATTTAATAAATTTTCATAGAAATAGAACCACAAATATTTAATATCTAAATAACAAAATTTGACACCTATTTTAACACTTTATGAGAATAGAGTAATAGATAATTGGTAAAATTTAAGACTTATTTTATAGTAGAGTATGGTTACATTACTGCTAATTTTGAAAATAATAAATTTAGATCCCCCTAATCTTATCATACTTTATTATAAAAAAGGCTTTTATTTTACCAATCATCTGTTATTACAAAGTGTTGAAATAGGTGTCAAATTTTGTTATTGTGATTCTATTTCTAAGAAAATTTAAAGCAAGGTATTAAATTGATTTTTAAGACATTGATCGTGATCGATGTCCTTATATGTTATTCGTATAAATTACGAAAAGATTTCATCCTCGGCATATTTTCCCCAAATATGGAGCACCCGTCCGCCCAACAGAGACTCCGACAGAACTTTCTTACATAAATATTAATACAAACAAATAACAGATGGTTATTAAAAGTGCGTAATATGAAATTTTTTATTCGAAACTTGTGAGAATGTATTAAGCTGACTTATATTATATATTAAGCTAAGTTAATAAATAAATCAAAATTTTATCTCTAATTAAAATAAATAAATTTTATAAATAATAATAATCTATTCAATTAATAATAAAAATTTTATAACACGATTAAAAATGTAGGAATAAATCTTCCAATATAAATTCCAAAATATAATAATTATTATACTATTTTTTCCTAATTCATATAAGGTAATATTTTTTTGTTTCAATAAACTTTGATGATATTGATTTGAATGATATCGATGTTTGTTAGAATATTTAATATAAGTAATTGGATTCGTTTGTTATAAATAATATACCATATTGTTTATATATTGCATCCGTTGATAGATTTAGTAATAATATTAACTTCCCGTAGGGCAAGTTATAGTAATCGCAAAAAAATCGAAAATGAAAATTTTTATATATCTTTACGTTTCAGAGGTTTTTGAACATTTTGGCATACCTTAGAAAAAATGGATGTATGTGTGTGTGTGTATGTGTGTGTGTGTGTATGTATGTATGTATGTATGTATGTATGTATGTACGTGTGTGTATGTATGTGCGGATACAAATTTTCGTCGACGATATCGGGAACACGGATCAACCGATTTGAGTAATTCAAAAAACATTCGATTCGTATTGACAAGGAGACGTGCTGGATTAGATTTTGGCAAAGACAAATCTAGCCTTTCCGAAGATACGGGGCAAAAAGTGCCAAAAACGGTACCTCCGTTTTTAAGAGAACGGAGCGTTCGATTTGAATAATTCAAAAAAGTTTTACTTGTATTGACAAGATGTAGAATTGATCAAATTTTCATGAAGGCAGGTCTAGCGGTTTCGGAGATCTAATGAAAAAAGTAAAAAAAAATGCCATTCGGCGGTTAAAAATGATCATTAGACATATGCACATCAAATTATCAGATATTTTATAGAGATTTTAACAATAAGTATAATTTTTTTTTACATTTCTATGGGTTCCGTACCAATGCTTATGCGTTAGACGGCTTGCAAGCTTTGACATTTCGTCTCTATGCAGTTCAAAGCACGATTGCTTTGAAAAGAAGTTCAGATTTTCCAAAATATGTCAAAATGAAGAAAACATTTTTTTTCAAAATTTTTTTGTTTTCAAAAAAAAAATTTTTTTCTCAAAAAAAAAATTTTTTTTTTACAAGTAAAAAAATTTTTTTTTTCAAAAAAAAGTAATTTTTTGTCAAATTTATAGTTTCTCAAAAATCTAATTTTTTCGAAGTAATTTTTTTTCAGAAATGTTAATCGTTTTTAAAAAAATAATAATTTTTGGTACGGGAAGTTCCAGCAATTTGCCTTAAGGCACGATGCCCTAATTGCCTTAAGACAGAATTCCACTTACAGCTAGTTTTGTTTTGTAATTGTCAACATAACAAGTAACAGTTTTCATTAGAACAATGAAATGCCTCGCCCTGAATATTTCAAACAGCACATATGGTTGTGGATAAAATTTATATATATATATATATATATATATATATATATATAATATATATATTAAAATTCGTGAAACTAATTTATACCCAGGTGTTTAAGAAGAAAAATTCATTGAGTTACTAAACCATATTTTATTAGAGATTTAGGAAATAAACTCTTTCATCAATTATCTTAAAAAAAAACACAATTGATAAAATAAAATTGAATCCACGGATATATAAACCAAAATAATAAATAATACTAATTTAATTTTTTAACTTTCAGTTTCAAACTCATATTATAAATTAAACTCATATATTAAATTAAACTCATATTATTTCATCATTAATTGCATATGATTTATTAAATTACATTTGTTGTAATGTGTTCATTTGATTTAAACATTTTAATTTAATAAATTTATTTATTTTTTATTAATATAAACTTAAAAAAATATTGATTAATAGTATTGAACTATGAATTGTTCATTACATTCAAATTTTAATCTGGTGGATTTTAATAATAGCCACAGCAAAGCGTGGCCGGGTATGCTAGTATATATATATATATATATATATATATATTCATATAAAGGGTATGTAGGATGTAGGATATTTTTAAAAGAGTGCCAATTAAAAGTTATTTATGAGGGTCAATTCTCAGACACCTTATGTTATAATTAAAAACCATAATTAATACCTTTGTATACCTTTATAATAAATTAGAAAAACGAATCGAATTTATAGAGAGACGATTATGAAACATATAATAAACTTAGACATACTTATATTTATATATTGATATACAAATATATAATAACATAACTAAACAGGAATAAAAATTTAAAAAATGGTATGGTGCAGTATTTAAAATTTGTTTCACAATTGAACGTTGGACTAAACAAAGTCAGAATTTAAATTTTATTTTCCTATTTTTATTTTTAAGTAAGCTTTTTTATCATGTTCGGTATTACAATAAATTTAGAAAAAATAGAAAAAATACACTTCTATGCAAAATGAACTTTGATTTTAGTAATTTATACATTTCGTAGGGTGACACATTATTTTTTTAAAAATTCCTATTTTTTTGGGGCATTAAATAAGCTACTAGAAGAGATTTAAAAACCTATAAAAAAATAACATACATTATGAACTATGTTAAATTTCAAACAAATCATAAAAAAATAATTTAAATTAATTTATCCGTTAGATTTAATTTAATAATGTAACCATATCAGAACTCTAGTCTAGTGTATTTATAAATCAGCATATCTAACGTCCTAACGGGTTCAAAACGATTAAGATTTGATTGCTGAAATTAATTATCATTATATTTGATTTAATTAATCAATTAATATTCGCACAACACATTAAAGTGTATATATATATATATATATATATATATGATGATATAAGTATCATATATAACATCATTAACTACTATCATATATATATATATATATATATATATATATGTCGATATATTCTTATCCCGAGTGTGGGATCCAATTGGCGCCAACGTTTAAGATTCTTGCGACATTCCAATGTGCCACAGTACTAGAAAGTTGTATTTCTTATGATTTTGTATTTATTCTCATTGAATTCTGTGTAAATTATTTAACTACCTGTATAAATAATAATTATCATATTGAAGAATTTTTCTTATTTCAAATCACATTTTGCAACTTTTCGTTTGAACTAGCACGTCTACGAACCGTACAAAGTAGAAGAAAGAACCATAATAATGGAATTTTGTAATAATAGATATATTAATGTTTATTAGAGTGTTTTTTGTTTATAAGATTGCATTGCATTTATTATGGGAATTTTAAAGTTGTTGTTATACTAAGGATTTTTTGTTTGAATTTTCATTTTTTAAATTTTCGTTTGAAGTAACACGAGTGCCAACTGTATGATGTGAAGCAAGTAATCGGGAGAATTGATTTATGAAAAATTGTTATATTATAACAAACTTTGTGCTAAGTTTAAAATGTTTTACAGCATACAATTATTTAAATTCCAAAGTTATTATTACATTAAGAATTTTATCTTAAATTTATAGTATTTACTGCATATTATTAAAATTTCAGTCATTATTATATTAGGATTATTTTATTATAATTTACATTTTTAATTTTCCGTAGAGTAGTTATAGTAATCGGCCAAAAATCGAAATTGAAAATTTTTGCATTTCTTCACGTTTCAGAGGTTTCTGAACATTTTAGCATATCTCAGAAAAAATGAATGTATGTGTGTGTTTTGTGTGAATACAATTATGTTCACATTTTGTTTAGATTCAACCGTTTAGGAGATAAAGAGCAAAGAATGTAGAAAAAAGAATTTAAGTTTTTGAGGGCACAGATCATCCGATTTGATTGATTCAAAAAACATTCGATTCTTATTGATAGGGAGATGTGCTGATTAGTTTTTGGTAGAGGCAAGTCTAGCCGTTTCAGAGATACAAAACACATTCAAAAACTGCCTCGGTATCTTCGAAATGACGGGACCTGTCTTTGCCAAAAATTAATACTTATACTCGGTATAGATTCTGATTAGAATCATTTAAGCGAAGGCAAACTTTGATATTTTTTATATTTTTTTTATATCGTAGGCCTATAATATTTTAGTATATTTTACCAGTTCTAATTTAAAACAGATTTAATACTTTTAACAAAAGAATCTCTGCAAGTAAAACGGTAATTTAAATTTATGCAAATCGGCAGTCGCGCGGATTCAACATTCAAGAATTTGTTTAACAAAAGATTCACCTCATCTCATTCTTGGAACTTATAATATTTATTGTCTCTTGACATTTGTTGTCGCAGATGTAAATCAATTAATAAATCACACAAATCGAGTTCTGAGAATTGTATTATATAACATAAACATTTATACCATAGGTTCACAATCTGTTATTATTTTTCAGTGATTATCTCCTGAGACTATCCTTATCTAATTTGTCTCTGATTGAATCCACTTGGATTCCGCCGACTGAAATTGCGACGAAAAGTTGTCTCGATAAAGGACAATCAGAAGCTTTTTGCAAAAATCATGTCAGGGTTTTATTGGAATTGGAGAACGAAGACTCCATATTGGTCTGTGGCACAAACGCCTTTTTTCCTCAATGCTGTGTGAGAAAGGTGAGTGGTAAAATAAAAATGCTTCCTTTAAAATTACTAAGTTTATTTTAGATGTTACTTGTTTCGCGTTTCTGGAGCAAAAGAATTATTTTACATAGTTTTAACATAAAACAAAAATATAAGATGGCGGATACATAGTTATAGTAGGGGAACACTATTGCCAACATCACTAATAGTAATGGCGGGACATTTGAATTACAAATATAGATAACATTACATAAAAAAATGCGACAAACAATTTTGTCCAGTGAGAATGATAAAATCAAGTTACATTTGCCACCAAACCCTTAAATCTGTTTTTTTTTTAGATTACCGATCTCAAACAAGCTGGACAATGTGCCAGGGCCGTCGGAGTTTGCCCTTATTCCCCTTTGGCCAACTCGACTGCCATTTTGATCTCCGAAACCAACAACAAACAATTTGTTCACAACAGGGATGGATTTTTGGCAAGGGATCGTTTTGGTCAACTCGACAGGGATGGTAGTGCGAAGAAAAATTTTGGTTTTCTCGGAAAACAAATTTTGTATGCTGGGGCTACAATGGACTTCTCTGGTCAAGACGCTGCCATTTATAGAACTGATCTGTCGAATGGAAAATCAGGCAAGGGGAATAAAATTATGGAATCAAAATTAGCAATAAAGTAGTTATTGATTAATTTTGTTGTTCAGGTTCTCTTCCATCATTAAGGACTCACCAATATGACCCACATTGGCTGAACGACCCACAGTTTGTTGGATCCTTCAAAGATGAATCGTATGTCTACTTTTTGTTCAGAGAAGTTGCAGTCGAGTACATCAATTGTGGAAAGGTACATAAACTTGTTTTTGTATCAGCTGCAGTTTTTTTTAAACTGTTTTTGTTTCCAGGTGATTTATTCTCGTATAGCTCGTGTATGCAAAAATGATTCTGGAGGTCACTCGATGATGCAAAAGAACTGGTCATCATTTTTAAAAGCAAGATTAAATTGTTCGAGATCTGGAGAGCACCCATTTTATTTTAATGAAATTCAAGATATGGCTTACGATGAGGATGAAAGAGTTGTTTATGCCATCTTTTCTACACCAGTGTTAGTAAATTTATATCCAGATCAAAAAAATCCTACTGATTTTATCGAATAAATGTGTAACTGTGTTTTTTATTTATTTTTATTCAGGAATAGCATTGCAGGATCTGCAATCTGCTCTTTCAACATGTCGGCTGTCCAAAAATCCTTCTCAGGCTCATACAAACACCAGCCAACACCTACGAGTCAATGGGAAGCTAAAATGGATGATCATCACGAATGCGGGTAAATAATAAATAGTAAATATTTTACCTCATTACAACTATATTTTAGTATCTATCTATTACCTTTTAGTTCCAATAAAGTGCCCCGCTACCAACTAATGGACCATCCAGTACAACCAATTCAAAGAGATCCATTGCACCAAGTCGAACTCGAAAGATACACCCATATGGCTATTGATAAGGTGGACACAAAATTACATACAGGAGTCCGAATAATTTTTGTATCGAATGATAGGAATGAAATCAAAAAGATTTCCATATTGTCTCGAACAGGCAGAGCTTGTGTTATCGATGTGTTCAGGTTGGAAGAGAAAGGAGGCTTTGTTGGTGGAATTAGGGAGATGGAATTTAATAAATTTATGGTAAGATATAACAGATTTATTATGTTAATAAGGATTTAATAATGATTTTTTTGTTTGTTTAGAACTCTTTGTATATTTTGACAAAGACTTCAGTGTGGAGAGTACCTGTAGAACATTGCTCGAGATTGAAAACAGAACGATCTTGCTTAGATTCGATGAACCCGTATTGTGGTTGGGATAAAACAGCTTATAGGTATTTATTGCTAACAAAAATTATTATCATAAAACCAAAGCGAAAGATTGCATGATACAAGTATTTTTCTTTATCAGTGAATCTGGTATTCGAGAAGGTGCTTGCACAAGAGCTCCAGACGCAGAGCCTCTAAATCCTTCCTGGCAACAGAATCCTGTCGGGTGCCCTCAAGACAGCAAAAGACGCCAACCACAATGGTCAGAGTGGTCGCCATGGACCAAATGTGCACAAGGTACCACTAAATTCATCCTATGTATTTGCATTTGATACTCAAAATGTCTTTTTTTAGCTTCTGAAAACAACATAGATTCTCTCGACTATGATGATTCCCAGCAAGATTGGTGTTTATGTCAGACTCGTACATGTTTTGGTTCGAGTACTTCTGCAAGAGGCGCCAATTCTTGGTCGAAAATTAGTTCGGTGCCGAGTGAGTGCTCTGGACCTAGTACTAGGATTACTAATTGCACCAGGCATGGTGGATGGACGCCCTGGTCGCCTTGGTCAGCTTGCTCACAGGTATAAAATATAAACATATATATATATATATATATATATATATATATATATATATATACTAGATGACCCGACAGACGATGTCCTGTACCCACGTCAACAATTTTTTAGTAACGCATACTTATATTTACCGTTTACCTAAAATAATAATTGTTTTTTAAATTACTCTTCACACCCAAATGCATATACATTTATAATATGGGCGATGTTAAATGTAGAACTGCTTTAAATAAAATGATGAGTCTCAATTTTCACACTGAATTGGAAATTGAAGTCTTTTAAACGGTATAGCAAACCATAACCATAACATAACACTGGTACTTCATGTTGGATTGAATTAATTTAATTTTATATTATTTAACTTATCCAAAATTGCATCTTAAACTTCTCTTAATCGATATCGTGAGGGCCGAATTGTATGTATTCATCTCTACTTTCCCATTTGTTGTTCTAAAGTAAAATTTTTATGAATTTTAATGATATTGTGGAAAGATTGTAAAAGATGCAAAGAAATTATATATTGAAAAAAAAAACTATATTGAAAATTTAATATCCGAATCTTGTGTTGGCACCCCTTAAGGCGTGCGCTCGTATTTTTCGCATGCATCGCATTAAAGGTAGGACCGGCCCTGATTAATACTTAATTTTATATTTTAAGTGAATTAATTTATCATATCCTGTTCATATGTTTATCATTTAATCTGCCATACATATACTGTATCTTATATAATTTTAATTTCTGGCACATCTCAGCTGCTTTTTGGCAATAATAATGTAGACATTTCTTTTTTTTTATTCATAATCAAAAATTTCTTATACATATTTTAATATTGTCTAGGTTCATAAGTAAATTGAAATTTTTGGCAGATGATAGTTTTCATTTATTTTCAATGCAAACAATGACATGTCGTGTTTTGCATTTTTTTCATTTATTTCTATAATATTGCACATACATCTCAGTACTTTATAATCACATACATCCTAGAAAATCTCCTTAACAAACTTCAGAAAGATTTATCAAAATCCGAATAATCGTTTAGAAGGAGTATACAGCGAATGCACGTAATTTAATATGAACTTTATATAATTGCAATAAAGTTCAAATTGACTCTACGTTTTAGTTCGAAAACGTTTGTATGAGAAAAAGAAATGGGATATTTTTAGGGTTTTCCCGACGATTATTCGATTTTTCTCGCCATAAGAACCATCCTTGAACGAACATTTTGAAAAAAGAATTGGCCAAATTGGTCCAGGCGTTGTTGAATTATGCGCTTACCAATACATTTTGCGATTCATTTTTATATATAAGAAGATATATAGACACATAGACTCACATTTGTAGAATCTATAATTTTGATAAATAAAATTTCCTGATCTAATTAATTTGTTACCCATGTGTCTTTTACCTCAGAGTTGTGGAGTGGCCGTGAAGACCCGTCGCCGTTCCTGCACAGCCCCCAGTCCGGCCCACGGGGGGCGCGTCTGCGTCGGTCCGGAGTCTCATGAGATCTATTGCACGGACAACCCGCCATGTCCCACGGAAGCCCCGACGATGGACCCCTTGGAGCACGATGACGATGAGTTAGATCGGGATTTGGAGGGTGATTCCGAAATTGGGGGTGAGAGGTGATTATTTAAGTGTCCCGAGGGTAGGGAAGATTGTGTTTGTACATATGTATATATATAATGTAGAAGATGGTAATTAATTTTTTGGGTGATAAGATGAAATTGATGATGATTCTATGTTGTATTAACGGTTATTAATCTTATTAACTTATTAATCTATTAACTTTTGATCAAATCGATTATTCGGGAAGTAAATTCTTTTAAATTTTGAGATGTACATACTTTAAGTTGTATTATGGATAAAATTTAATGCTAGATAGTAGTAGTAGTAGTAAAAGTAGATTTTACTTTTAAGAAGCATTAGCAATACTTATTACTTCCCGTAGGGTAGTTATAGTAATGGGCCGAAAATCGAAAATGAATATTTTTGCATTTCTCGACGTTTTGTAGGTTTCTGAACATTTTGGCATACCTCAGAAAAAATGAATGTGTGTGTGTGTTTTGTATGTCCGCATTTTATCGTCCACGTTTTCAGGCGCACGGATCAACCGATTTGAATGGTTTAAAAAACATTCGATCCCTATTGATAGGGAGATGTGCTGATTAGTTTTTGGCAAAGGCACGTCCAGCCGTTACGGAGATACGGAGCAAAGAGCGTAGAAAATAGAAATCGAGTTTTTGAGAAAACGGAGTATCGGATTTGAATGATTTAAAAAACATTCAATTTGTAATGATTGGTAGAAGAGGTAATTAGTTTTTGGCAAAGACAGGTCCCGCCATTTCGAAGATACAGAGCTAAATGTGCAAAAAATGGCAGTTTTTGAGTGAACTGAGCGTCCGATTTGAATGATTTAATAAACTTTCTGCTTGTATTGACAAAACAATTGCTTTTGAGGATAAAAAATTATTACAAATTGAAAAAATTACCCAGGCTAAGCACAGTCTAAGCGCCACTCTGGTACAAATGTTTACCCAAGTGCGTTAAGCAAGTTTTAAAAGTTTTCCAATTTCGTGAAAAAAATTATTGAAAAATGTGAAAATGCCGCCAATCTAAGCACAGTATAAGTGAAAATGTCGCAGAGAATTATTTGCAAATGCGTTTAGACTGTGACTGTAGAGCACTTTTTCAATTTTGTGTAAATTAGGCAACTATTTTTTTGTTTGAAATTGAATTCGAAATAAAATGACGATTGTTAATGTTCTAGAGATAAATTGATTTATGATTTACAATTGATTTTGATTGCTCAAATAAAACAAGATAGCAAAAATAATGAAAGTTACAGCATTTGTAATAATATATTTGAAAACGTTTAAAATTTTTCGAATATTTCATTACGATACGAAAAGTTCCAGCATTTTGCCTTGAGGCACGATGCCATACACCACTAGTTTTTGGTGAGGTCGTCGAGAAAGCTCTTTACTACTACGAAATTATAGCAGGTTCCTATTCAGATCAGTATCGAGTTGTACTACAAATCGTATCAGTTACTAACTATTGATATTAATGTATAATTTTTTTTAATGAAATTAATATGACTAAATAAGACTAAAACCAAGACAAAAATCTAAGTGAAAAATTTAATAGAAAAAGTTGATGCAAAAATTTGATAAAACAACAGATTTTTTTATACTTGATCTTATAAAAAAGCTAACTTAGGAATTTTAAACAAATTAATTCCAAAAAAGACTTCAGATTTTTGTCAACGCCAACTTCTAAAACAATTCACCTCACTTTATAATTCTTATTTCCTTTCCCCAGTTCTTGGTCCGCGTGGTCGCCCTGGTCGTCATGCTCGGCACAATGCTCCGGAGGATTTCGAGTACGACGACGAGTTTGCACCACCACATTTCCATCATCATCATCATCATCAGGATCATCATCCGGATCATCTTCCGGATTACTACGACGAAGACAACACCATCAGCGTCTTCCAGAGACGTACACCCACACCCACACGCACACTCACGTACACATGCACACGCACGTGCACAGACACACGCACACGCACATACACGACCTCACACACGTACATCTGCTGA